AAATATAAAAAGGGACTCTACTGACGAGCAAATTGAAATTGCGAACTAAAGCAAAATACTCTACTAACAAAAATCTATTTTGATATAAGATTGAAAAAGGACTCTACTGACTGCAAATTTAATTTTGACCTAGAAAATTAAAAAAGGACTCTACTGACGAGCAAACTTAATTTTGATGTAAAAAAATTAAAAAAAACTACTAACTAGCAAGGTTAATTTCAATCTAAAAAGAATTTTAAAATAATGTCAAAAGATTTTTTGTTTGATTCAAAAAATAAAAGGGGACTCTACTGACAGCAAATTTAAATCGTAAAATAAACAAAATACTCTAATGACACAAAAATTTTAATATTGATATAAGGTTAAAAAAAGGACTCTACTGACAAGCAAACTTAATTTTGATGTAAGATTCAAAAGCAAACTTAATCTTGATTGACAAATTAAAAAAAGGACTGTACTAAAGTGCAAACTTAATTTAATTTAAAAGATATAGACTCAAATTATTTATAAAAAAATTATTATAAAACTTAATTTTAATGTAGAGGATTAAAAAACAAATTCTATTGACGAGCAAATTGAATTTTGATTTAAAGGATTTAAAAGACCTCTACTGACGAGCAAAACCTTATTTTGATGTAAAAAATTAAAATTTGTCTTGAAAAATTAAAAAAGGACTTTACTGACAAGCAAAACAATTTTGATTCTAGAAGATAAAAAGGGACTCTACTGAGAATATATTTTTTTGAATGCAAAAAAAGTTTATTTTTTTCTTAATATATATATCTTTTACAACAAATTTGTGATTGTGTTGAAAATATTTTATACGCGTATATTTTAATCTCATTTCATTTAGTCAAATTAATCAGGTTTCTTCTTTTCTATATTATATATTTAAATAATCTTATCCTAGAATTGAACCTAAGGGTAAATTTACGTGCTACCGTTGGTGGCGACCTCTTTGATATGCTGAAATAATTAAAAATGATGTAATGTCAAAGCTGCCCTGTTTTTCATTCCATATTACACTGTTTATCTATAGAGCAACTCTTTATTAGAATTTTATACGTTTTCTATATCTTATTAAAATAATAACTTTAATTATTTTAAATAAATAACTTTACATTATTCTGTAAACAAATCAAATCAGAAAAATCCCATTTATTATAATATACATATATTATAAAAATCATTTATACATATTTAAATCTTATTGCAAACATGCCTTAGTAGAATTACAACTAAAATATTTTATAGTTGACAATTTATTTGTAATTTATTTTATTAAAATTATTTTAATAAATCCTTTTTATATTATTATTTGGTAAGTTTGTACTCTTTCTCGCACACACACGTTGTGAAATTAATTAAAATCAATAAACACTTTATAATAATATTTTTTTGTTTATTTTTTTTTTTTTGGCAAAATATTGTTAAATGATTGGCAAAATATAAGAGCTTTGAAGCCATTGGGGGTAGTTTTATGAAGAAAACAGATTGACTAGTAAATGATATATATATATATATATATATATATATATTTTAATTGTATTGCGGATATATTTTCTTTATGAACAAATTTTTCTAATATTCCATTATATTGAATGGACAATCAAGTAGTCAAAAAATGTTATACTTATAAATTATATTGTTTAGTAGATTTCAATATTGTCTGAATTTTTCTATATATAAATTTGCAAAAAATAAATATATAAATGGGTAATTGTGTCATGAATCGATAACTACATGCATAAATTTCTATACACATTTTTGCACTTCCATAATATTATTTATATCTGTACATTAAACTAGTAATTTGTAGTATTTTGTCCTTAATTAAATAATAACTATTACTTTTTATCAACTGTTCCTATTTTAATAGATTTATTTAAAAAAAAAGCATTTAAATCTATTTAATCACTAATAAATGAATATTTATTACTTGTCTATTTAACATAATTTTAATTGTTATTTTTTTGAATAATTTTGTTAATTTTTTGAATGATTCGTTGATTTAAATAAAAATGTAAAAAAGAATACTAGGCAATACTATGTTGCTATGAGATCTTAAATTTATTGAAATAATTGTGCTCGACTTTAATAATTTTTTATATTTCGTTTTATATCCTTGATACTTAATTAAAATTAAAGGTAAATATTATTTTCTATATTAACGAACATATTTACATAAATTGTGCATGAATCTGGGTATATTAGGGTGGTCCTTAATATGACAATTTTTTTAATTTCTTTGCTCCCAAGGGCTCAAATGGTTCCAAATTGATACGGTTCCATATTAAGGACCACCCTATATATATATATATTATATATATATATTATTATTTATTTAATTCAACGATCTACTACTGTTACTCTTACTATGTGAAGACTTCTCAGCAAGTAAGCCCCTCGAATGAATATGGTTTATAAGCAGCTTTTTTAACAAAACTCGATTTTGTGTTCCCGTGGTTCCATTTAAGTTCAAGGAATTGTTAGATTCGTAATTTTGTGTGTGGAATTTTTTGTCGGGCCTGAGATGTCTAGGAATCTGATTGTATTCGAGTTTGACCAGAGATGTGTTTGTTACTTCTTCGCAATCGATTTGCATCAGTTGGATTATTTCGCCAAAGAATCTGGAAATGGAAAGAAATAATTGATAATAGATAGAAACTGACGAGCGAACTGAAATAAAATACATTTTATAGTAAAACTACCCGACTAAAATGCAACAAGATATTTCACAAACTAGTGGTGCATGGCATCGTGCCTTAAGGCAAATTACTGAAACTTCCCGTACCATAATTAAACTTTCGTGAAATGAAAACAATCAATAATTGTTTTCAATAATTTCAAATAGATTATTTAATTATAAATACATACTGTAAATTTTTAAATGCAACAAACAACTTATGCGTCTTAAATTACAAGAAGTTTGTTAATTTTTTTTTAATTTGAATTTTTTGATGATTTAAATTTTTTTTTTAAATCTCGAAAATTTTTAGCATTTTTGAAAAAAAATCTTAAAAATCCTCCTAGTTTCATGAGAATTTAGAAATTTTTGAAAATATTCGATTGTTTTTTTGAAAATTTCGAAATATTCTCAAATTCTTGTAAGAAATCGATATTTTTGTAATTTTGATATTTTTTGAAATCTTTCAAATTCGAAATTACGAATTATTTTGTAAAAGCATTTTTTGCACACCATCTACACAAACAAAAGGTTTTTCAAATCGGTTGATCCGTGTTCCCGAAATCGTTGACGAAAATTTGTATCCGCACACACACACACACACCAATTTTTTCTAAGGTATGCCAAAATGTTCAGAAACCTCTGAAACGTAAAAACATATACAAATTTTCATTTTCGATTTTTTTGCGATTACTATAACTTGCCCAACGGAAAGTTAATAAAAAGGACTCTAACGACGAGCAAATTGAAATTAAAAACAGTAAATAGAAAAAGGACTCTACTGACGATCAAACTAAATAAAAAGTCAATTTTATACAAAAGGCACTCTATTGACGATTAAATTGAAATAAAAAACAGTGAATTGAAAAAGGACTCTACTGACAAGCAAACTGAAATTTTAAACAATTTTGCAATTTTGTAAAAAATGACTGTACTGATGAGCAAATTAAATTAAAAGACTAACTATTTTATAGAAATACTGACGAACAAACTGAAATACAAAACAGTAAGTCAAAAAATGACTACTAGAACAATCAAATGCAGTGAATAAAAAAAGACTCTACTAACGATCTAACATAGTGAATAAAAAAGGACTCTACGAACAAGAAAACAAATACAAAACAGTTAATAAAAAAAGGACTCTACTCAGAAACTAAAATAGATGACATTTCATAGTAAAATGACTTCACTGACGAGCAAACAAATAAAAGACAATAAATTGTAAAGAGACTCTACTAACGAGCAAACTAACATTCAATCAGTAAATAGAAAAATGACTCTACTGATGAGCAAACTAAAATTAAAAAATTGTCAATGGAAAAAGGACTCTACTGACGAGCAAACTAACATTCAAGGTGTAAATAGAAAAAAGACTCAACTGATGAGCAAACTAAAATTAAAAAACTGTCAATGGCAAAAGGACTCTACTGACGAGCAAACTGAAATTCTGAACAATTTTGTATAAAAATGACTCTACTGACGATCAGCTGAAATTCACTGAAGTGACGAGTAAACTGAAATAAGACTATAAATAGTAAAAGGACTCTACGACGAGCAAAAATTGAAATAGAAGATATAATATAGAAAAAGTACTCTACTGACGAGAAAACAAATAATACAAAAAAGTGAGTGAAAAAGGGACTCTACTGACGAGCAAATAGAAATATAAAATATTTCATAGAAAAGGACTCTACTGACGAGCAAACTGAAATAAATAGAAAAAGAACTCCACTGACGAGTGAACAAATAAAGCACTAAATGAAAAAAAGGTATTCTACTGATGAGTAAACTAAAATGAAATACAGTAAATAAAAAAGGGACTCAACTGACGAGCAATTTGAAATAAAAAAGGACTCAAGGACTCGACAAAAAAATAAATACCAAACAGTGAATAAAGAAGGACTCGACTAACGAGCAAAATAACATACAAAACAATAAATAGAGAATTGACTATTAACAAGCAAACCAAAATAAAAAACAGTAAAAAAAGAACTCCACTGACGACCAAACTATAATAAACAATGGTAAAATGAAAAAGTTGGTAAGTAAAATTTAGCCAGTAAATCGGTATTAATACATAATTAATATAATATTAATATACAATTAAAATCGAACTAACTACAAAATGATTTACTATCATAAAACAGCCAAAATATTTATATGGTAAAAAAATCATTGTAACAATTGGCGAAAATTTTCATGTTTCCATTTCGTCATTAATATTTTTGGAGAAAACTCTTACTCGCTCAAAATTCGTAATTCGAATTAAAACAAATTAGCCACTTTTTTGGCGGCTCATACCTCAAAACACTCGTAAGTAATAAAATATTTATTGTATATATAATTCTATCTACTTACTATTTTTCCCAAGCACCGGCATCAGCAGACTCATTTTAGGCCTCGACGTATTGTTATGAGCCAATGCAGGCAGTAGCAAATGATCCAAATGGAACGAAACCACATAGAAAGTATCATCCCTCCTTTTGATAGCCTCATAAAACTCGAAATCCTGTCCATAATTATTAGGATCGAACACGTCAAGTTCGCTATAAGTCTCAGGAATTTTATCCATTATCACTTTACGTCTTCTCATAACTTTACTCTTAGTTTTATCTTTGATCGCGTGCCTTCTGACTAATCTAGGATTGTCTATGTCTCGGTTGGGTTTGTTGGTTATTAGTTCTAAGGATATATTTGGTTTTGGTTCAGAGTTTTCTATGTTGGATTTGTTAAAGGATGATGTTAGTGGTTGTTGTTTGATGCCGATCCATTTTCGTAGTTCAGATTCTAGGCGCATGCTTTCGGAGATGTTTATGTACATTGGGCATATAGGGTGAATGCCTGTTTGGGTTTTGAAGTCTTGGAATTTTGAAGGCATACCTGGGAAAAGGAAATAAAATAAGTTTCAGTACTTCTCAGAAACAACTTTACACATTGTTGCCAAATTTTATATGCGTATTCAGTAGGTCTGAGAATCGTCTACTATCTATTTATCGTCTACTACTATCGTACCCCAAAGTGATAAGGGATTTGGTTTGTCTATCACCCTTAAATTTTTTGTTTTAATTTCGGGGCGTTTTTTTTGTTTTTGTTTTCTTATATGGCGTTAAAAAAACACATACACCCTTTTTATTTTTATCCCTTATTAATTTTTATTAGGGTTTTCTGAGTTCTTAGTAATTAAATCATTTTTTATCATTGAATATTTTTGACATAATTTTTATTCACATTTTTAAGTTTGAAAAAAAACTTAAATGTTACTTCAAAAAACAATTTAATTTTATCAAGGGTTGTCCATCCCTAAAGTTTTTTTGAGACCAATTTTCTTGAATTTAATATTCTATTTCTATAGTACTCTATTCTCTATTTCTATTCTATTTAATATTCTATTCTCTATAATATTTTTAATTTTTGGACTGAATTTTTTTGTTTTATTTTTTTATAATGTGGCAATAAAAAATACAAACAAACCTTGATTTTTACTTTTTTTTTATCACCAACCCCTATTTTTTTATAGGCATTTTAGAAATTCAATCAAAATTTATTATTGAATATTTTTGACCTAATTTTAGTTCAGATTTTTGAGCTTAAGGAAAAAACTTAAATCTTACTTTAAAAAACAATTTATTTTTATCAAGGGTTGACAACCCCTAACGTTTTTTTGGGGTCAATTTTCTTTAATTTAATATTCTATTCTTTATTTCTCTATTCTATTTAATATTCTATTCTCGATAATATTTTTAATTTTTGTTTTTATTTTTTTATAATGTGGCAATAAAAAATACATACAACCCTTGATTTTTATTTTTTTATCATCAACCCCTATTTTTATAGCCATTTTACTAATTCAATCATTTTTATCATTAAAATTTTTTGACATAATTTTAATTCACATTTTTGAGCTTGAAGAAAAACTTAAATGCCACTTCAAAATACAATGTATTTTTATTAAGGGTTGACGTTAATAACGTAACCTTTTTTTTTAACTTTGGGGCCAATTTTCTTTAATTTAAAATTCTATAAATTAAAATTGAAAAATACATAGAACTCTTTTTGCTTACAAGAACTATTTATTTTTATCAAGGGTTGTCCACCCCTATTTTATTAAATTTTAGAATCAATTTTCTCTTAATTTTATTTTGACCTATTATCCTGTGAAGATCTTGACATAATTTCAGTTAAGATTTTTTTTAGTATATGAAAATGTTACTACTTTGAACAACAATTTATTATTATTAAGGATTTTTTTTATTTTGAAGTCTTTTTTATTTTAATTTTTCAATGCGGAATTGACAAAATACTTACAATTCTTTTTACTTCAGAATACTATTTAATTTTATCAAGGATTGTCCACCCCTAACATTTTTTTTATTTAGGTACCGCTTTTTTATCGTAATTTTCTACAATTAAAATTGAACTAGTAGTGTATAGCATAGTGCCCTAAGGCAAAATATTGGAACTTTCCGTTAAACTTTAAATACTGTTTATTTTCATCAAGGGTTGTCCATTCCTAAATTTTTAAATTTCGGAATCAATTTTTTTTAATAGCCGGAATTTAAAAATGTACACAAATCTAAATTTCCACCTGAATTTTTGTTACAAAGAAAACAATTGATTTTTATCAAGGGTTGTCCACCTCTCCCTTTGAACAAATATTTCCCTATGCGCACAAACAGTACATAGTTGATAAATGGTTTGCATAAAGAGCAAGTTTTATGCAAAAAATAGAGATTAAATATTAAAATCTGAAGATACAACGGTTTTTGATAGGGAACTATAGGTACCATACAAATCTATGACAAAGCTATAAAATTTTCCACTATCTCAATTTTTTTCCAATCTCAGTCAAATCACTGGTCATACCACATAACAATATAATTTAAAAATGAATTATCGGATTACGATTCGTAATTCAAAAATTAATGAATTAATGCAAAAGCGCGGTAATAATATATCAAAAACGTGAAACTTCAAATGTGCCAATTCAATTTGGAAAGGATCACTTTCAGATTGGATTGGATCTTGCAAAGACTATTAAGGGACATTTATATGTGGCGCGCTTTGCAGTGGGTAAACTATTCATATATTTTTTGTTAGCTGCTCCTTTCACTCATGAACCACATTTGCAATCAGTTAGTTATTTTCGTACTAAACATTTTATACTAGAAATATTTTTTTATGGCAAGATGACGTTTGCCGGGTCAGCTAGTATATATATATATATATATATAATTAATACTTACTTGTTAAGTTGATTTTAATCTCTGCACTATCATAATCCAAATTTTGATCGTCGACCCAGAGCAAATGCCGGCCGACTGGAACATCTTTAGGAATTTCTGAATTTTCAAACGCTGAAATGTCCGTTTTCATAAACATATTGTTGAAACTGAAAAATAAAAATATACATTATAATAACAACTAGTTCATTCATAAAATAGAGTCAGTAATGTTAATAATTTTACCCAAATGATCCTATATTGAATGAAACCATAACGAGCATTGCTAATAAAAACGCCGTGTTTTTACGAGCGTTTGCTGAAATATTTATTAAATTATGATGCTGATTTGGTTTGTCTTCGTCAATACATTGAGCTGATAAACGGGCTCGAAGTTGTGCATTTTCCTGCAAGAGAAGAAAAATACAGTTGAATGTGAAATAATAAAAATTATCAGATATTAAACTATTTACACTTGCATTTAATTAACTTCCCGTAGGGTAAGTTATAGTAATCGCAAAAAAATCGAGAATGAAATTTTTTATATATCTTTACGTTTCAGAGGTTTCTGAACATTTTGGCATACCTTATACGAAATGGATGTATGTGTGTGTGTGCGCGCGCGTATAAAAATTTTCGTCGGCGATTTCGGGAACACGGATCAACCGATTTGAATAATTCAAAATAACATTCGATTCGTATTGATGAGGAGACGTGCTGGTTAGTTTTTGGCAAAGGCAGGTCTAGCCGTTTCGAAGATACGGAGAAAAAGTGCCAAAAACGGTAACTCAGTTTTTGATAGAACAAAATGTCCGATTTGAATGATTCAAAAAACATTTTATTTGTATTGACGAAATGAAAAAGTGATGATGTTTGGAAAGGCAGGTCCAGCGGTTACGGAGTTTCAATAAAAAAAAGTTAAAAAATGCCATTTGGCAGTCAAAAATGTTCATTAGACATATGCACATCAAATTATCAGATATTTTATAGAGATTTTAATAATGTGTACACATTTTGTGTCAATTTTTTTCGGTTCCGTACCAAGAATTTTAATTTTACAGTATGTTTCAAATAAATGTCCTCGACAGTATGGAATAACCTATTCGAGTGATTATAAAAACATTCGGTTCGTACTCGATCGCGAGGCGTTTTTGCAAAAGGCACGTCTAGCGTTTTGGAGGAATGGAGCGCAAAGGGTGTAAAAATGGTCATGCAGTTTGTGAGAGAACGGATCAATCGATTAGATTAATTCAAAAAACATTTTGCTTGTGTAGACGGTGCAGAAAATGCTTTTACAAAAAATTTCCTAATTTTAAAAATTTTCAAAAAAAAAATCAAATTTTAGAAATTTTCAGCATTTTCAAAACAAACTGATTTTTAAAAAATTTAAAACAACATCAAAATTTAAAAGAAAATGAATTTTTTACAAATATTTGAAATTATTTCGAAATTGTCACAAAAAATCAAATATCAAAAATTTCCAGATCTAAAAAGAATCGTTCCTTTCCAAAAATTCTAAAAAATTTCGAACTTTTGAAGAAATTTCAAAATTGTCAAAAAATCAAATTTAAAAAAATAATGGAATTGAAATTGAACATTGTCTGCACAATTTCAAAAAAATTTTGAACATTTAAAAAATTTCAAAATATCAAAATTATCTTAAATTATCAAAAAAGTGAATTGAAAATAAAAATTATTAAACGATGTGCAAAAAATGTTTTCACATAAAATTTCCTAACCTTTTTTAAATTTTTTTAAAATTAAAAAAAAAAACAATAAAAAGTTTCAAAAAAATTTAAAATTTCAAGAGATTCAAATTTTCAAAAAAAAAAAACAGAATTATTAGAATTTACAAAAAACATAGAAATTTAAAAAAAAATTATTTCTTACAAAAATTTGAGACTATTTTGTATTTTCAAAAAAAAAAATCAGATATTTTCAAAAATTCCCAAATTCCAAAAAATTTCAGTATGTATTTATAATAAATAATCTATTTGAAATTATTCAAAACAATTATTGATTATATTCATTCCTCAAATATTTCATTACGCTATGGGAAGTTCCAGCAATTTGCCTTAAGCCACGTTGCCATGCGCCCCACTAGTTTTTATTCAGTTAATCTTACCTGTTTTAATAGATTATTTTCTTGTGTGAGTTCAGCAACTTTATTTTCTAACAATGTCAAATATTCTTTTTTCTTTTTCCTGGACAGACACGCTGATGCTCTGTTTTTTATCATACGCTGATGCTTTTTAAAAGCTCTTGATTCTAAATCTTTGTCAACATTCAATAAACTACTGCCTGGCCTGGATTCGAAATTTGGAATTTGTTTTGCTTTTTGGGGTGGATTTATCTATCAAAAAAAAGCAATAGCAAATAAAATTATGAATTGATAGGAAATTTTATATTTTAATTATTACCGTGGATACATTATTTATATTGACAAGATCCTGCTTGATTTCACTAATATCATTCTTTAATTTTCCCAATTTAGCTAAATTTGCAAACTGTTGCGGTGATAAAACAATAGAATTTTTACGCTTTGTAATAACAGCCCCGTTTATCGGTTTAGGCTGAATCAGCGGCCTTTTGAGTGCCCCAGGAGCGCTCTTGGTGATAATCTGCATATTATCCTGTGGAATCTGTATATACTGAACCGGATTCTGTGCGATAACAACCGGTTGCATCAAAGACTCATGTTGAAAATTGATTTTGGGTGAAATAACACACCCCTCTTGTGGCGATATTGGTGGAGTGTCCAAATGATTGTTGATGGTAACCTCGTTTTTGAGATTTTCCAAATTGATTTCATTGCTGGAGTTAGATAAAGATGATGGACTGGGCGTGCTTCGCAAAGGTGAGACCGGCTCATGTTTGTATTCCTGTTTAATGTTGTCTTGGGATTCATTCAGTTCGTAAGATATAATGTCGTCTAAGCTCCATGGTGGGTTTTCAGTGATTGAATCGCTTGATAAAGGACTTTCTAGTAAAGCCGTGAAGGGGTCTTGGTCTAGTAGCATAGGGATGTCTAAGTCTTGCGAGAGAGCTGATAGAAGATCTTGGTGATCTCCTATATTATCTAGATAAAGAATACATATTATTGAAAATTGTATAAAAATTAACACAATACCAAAAATGTAAAACATAACATTTTGCATTTTGTATATTATATTACATGATTATTTATATTTATATGTAACTCCATTACATGTAGTAGCAAAACACCTACATAATCTTTGACAATACGTTCAAAAAACCATCACAATATAACTTAAACACATCAACAAACATTATATTCACTAAATCAATTCCATTCACCCCTTTCTACAAAGTATTTCAAGAGATATAAACAATTTTAATTCAATTACCATAAAAGAACGAATCATTCTGCTGCATATCCTCCGACATGTCTGTTGTTAAATCAATGGAATTATCACCGTTTATTAACATTTTTATACAAATGCACTAAAATATTGAAGAAACGGCTAACTTATCTATCTAATTCATGTTTTATTTTTAATACTAATCGGTATATTTTGACACGTCGAAAAAACACAACATTCAAGGTTAATTTAAGACGCCATTGACAATTGACAGTTCATTGCGCAGAGCCGAGGCGGGAAAATTTGAAATTTAAATTGATAAAGGAATTTCTAATTTTATTTAGATTAGTTCTATTTTATATTGAAATATTTGGGTTAAAAGTTTGATTATTACTTTTTATAGCTTGTACCAATAAACATTTAAATATAAATATATTATATAATATTTTTTCTATTTAAATTTATTTATTTAAGACGCCATTGACAATTGACAGTTGCGCAGAGTCGAGGCGGGAATTTTGAAATTGGTAAATTTTTTTTTAAGAAAATTCCTTTACCAATTTAAAAAATGATTGAGAAATTATTATAGCCAGTAGGTTTTTGAATACTACTGGTGTATGACAATTTATAAGGAATATTGGAAAATGCTAATATCTAATTTTATTTAGATTAGTTCTATTTTATATTAAAATGTTTGATATTTTGGTTAAAAGTTTGATTATTATTTTTATAGCTTGTACTAATAGAAATATAAATTTAAATCTAAATATATATATATATATATATATATATATATATACTATATACATATATATTCAATTGATAAGTCCTGGATTTTTTCAATATATATATATATATATATATATATATATATATATATATATACATATTATAATATATATACATATAATATATATACATAATAATATATATATATGTAACATATATATATATATATATATATATTATATATATACTTGAGGTATTTATCAACCCAATCGTCGAATTAAAACAAGGTTAATTTAGAAAAATTCTTTATTGAACGTTTCTACACTTAATGTGTGTCATCATTCAGTATTCTAAACTAACATATTACATAAATAACAACATTTGATATTAAATGTAAAAAAGGAGAAAATTATATACATACCAAACCAGGAAAAACTCAAAAACATAAAATATGTAAAAAACACTAAAATTGTGCAAAAGATATATATATATATATATATATATATATACATATTAAAATTTTTACCATATATAAATATATATAAGTACATATATTTGTTCATAACTTATTCTTAGAATGATTACATTGGTGTCGACATTACTATTTTTATTCTTTTTTGCATAATATTATTAAATAATCGAATTTATAATTAAATTCGTTTTTAATTATTTGTTTTTATTCAAAACTTTTAAACTTTAAAATGAGTCAATCACAAATTTGAATTTACCGCCATCATGTTCAAAGTGAAGTTGTAACGGATGAGGTATAATGGATGCCTATAAGATTTTAATGTGAACTGTCAAAATCTTGGTAATGTTTTTTTTTAAAATGATTAGTTTTGTGTATTAAAAGCGTTTATTTTGTAATTTAAATGCGATGGATAGTGAAATAATAACATGCTCATATAGAACAATAATGCCTATAAGTGTTTCTAATTGATTTATGAGAAAGTGATTGCACTATGTTGTCTCAGCGAATCATAATTGGATTTAAATAAAAATTCTCCACTTATATCGAGTATGTGAGTAACAAAATGCTTGTGAAATTACGCAACACTAATATTCGTTTATATAAACCTTGATAAAAGTACATTGTTTTAACTTTTGCTTATTTTAAATACTTGTGTTTTGTAAACAAACCCTTAGTTTTTACAATAAATGAGACACTACGATGGGAATGTCGACGTAGCCTAGTATGTATTAACATACTTTTAAAATGAAGTCTTCTGAAGATGTATAACCTATAGCACAACATAAATCTTTCTACCATGGCTACATACAACAACAAGCACTGGCTTTTATCCCACATCCGTAATTCATTCATATCAACAGACGATACAGGCCTGTGTGAGATGGTTATGCTAGGCGAAGACTTCCCAAGACAACTGCACTCTAAGTACAAAGAAGAACTTAAGAACCCTGAAAAAAACGCTGATTATTTTTGTTATCCTGGTTTCGAAGAAAGCGAGGATGAAGAAGCTGATATTCTTGCACAATCATACGATTTACAATTCGATATGGATTTTGGACATAGATTAAGATCCAATACGGCACAGAGGCTTGAGAAAATGGATATAGCCAAAAAGAAAGCGGCTAAAATTAAAACTATCAAATGGGAAGAAGGGGATTCTAATGCTAAATTTACAGAAGAGGAACGGTCAAACTTTTTTCAGAAGAAAAAAGTCGAAAGTAGGAAACAGACTAAATTTAATTCCAAGTTTTCGGAACAATTAAAATCATGTGCTGATTTACCGATGAATCAGTTTATACATTTTGGAGGTGTCGATGGGACTGCGCAGTTTGGAGTTACTACGAAAAGTTTTTATATTTTTTTAACAATGCTGCCGGGAGATTTACGGGATTATCCAATGCTGGTTACGGTTATAGCTACGGCTTCTATCGGGGAACTCATCGGACTGATTTGTTATAAATGCAGTTTGGCTAATCCGACAGTTTGTTTAAAACCCGTGCAATACTACGCTTTGTATATAACGGAGGATGATGGAGAAGTGAGTATACATAAACTATCATAGTTATATATATATATATATATATATATATATATTTATATATGTATATATCTATCTATCTATCTATATATATATAAATCTCATGTCACGATGTTGGTTCGCGATGGACGCCCGAACTACTGAACCGATTTTAAATTTTATTGGCTCATCGCGTGCATATATATCCAACTTAGGTTATAGGAAATTTTGAAAAGTAAATTTGAAATAGAAATATATAATTTTTATAATATTCTAAAAGTTTTGACAGAAAAAAAAACAAAACACTAAAATGACAAATGTCAAAATTTAAGGAAATTTTGATATATAATTTTAGAAAAAAAAATTTGACATTTCAAAAAATAAAATTCAAAAACATGTACATATATAGATATATCCAACATTTATATTCAAATTAGATGAAATGCTATATTCAAAATCACAATTTATAGTTTTAAATCTAATTAAAAATTGATGTTTATAAATTTAAATAAATGTTGACATGAAAAACAAATGTCATTTATCAATATTTATGAACATAATTATATAAATAGATTTACAATTTATATTTATTTGATTAGCTTACCAAATGATTTCGAGTACCAAAACTTCATCAAAACCTTATAGATCAGAGATCACAATACAAAAGTGACATATGTATTGAATTTAAAATTAATCATAAACAAAAATTTGACATTTCACAAAAAAATTCAGTAGGAAACAAATAAATTAATTATTCCAAGTTATGTTATAGGCAATATTGTCGAACAAATTATAGATACAAAACATTATTGTAAACTAATACTATCATTTTCGACCAAAAGGAAATATTTTGACATTTATAAATTTAGTGCATATTGCATATATGAAATTGACATTAACTATTTAAATTAAATGCAAAAGTAAAAAATCTGATATTTATATAAAAAATTGTACATTTAGATATACTGCGTTGTTTTATTTAGTATATATTGTATATTATTTATTTAGTGTATATTGTATATTAGATGATACTGCGTTGATTTATTTAGACTAATCCATGATACGAGTGAATTAATTTTGGAAGTATGAAATGTCAAATATTTTTGAAAATTATAACAAGTTTTTTTGTTATTTGTCAGAAAAAATATATTTTATTACAAATTCATATCCATATCAAGCACCAAAATAATAAATAATACCTATTAAATGACATATTATTTATAGACAATATTTAATGAATATTTTAATTATATTTTTTGATATTTGCTAATTCAAAATAAATTAATTGAAAACAATGTCATAAATCGGATATTTATGGAAAAATATCAAATAAATATATTTATGTTTCACTTGATTTCAAATAAAGAAAAAACTAATTGCTATGCCAAAATAGATAGTATATTCATTTAAAATTATAGTCTAAATATTATAATTTTGATAAATAATCATCCATTGATAAAAAATTAATAAAAAATTGATAAAATTGATAAAAAATTAATTAAAGTGCCAAAAATCAAACATTTTGTAGATTTGGACTCGGATTTCTCAGAACTTTATCCATGTTAGTTTCAGGGATAGTATTAATATCAATTTATAGTCGAAAATTTATATGATAAGTGATTAAAACATTATAGATCACAATAAAAAAGCGACATATTGAATTTAACATTAATCATAA